ATATTAACTCAATTAGATGAGAAAAGACAATTCATCTATTATATATTATCCAAAAAAAATTTTGCATTAATGCAATATAACTTCTATATATTTTTGTAAAGAAATAATAAATTAGGAACCTAAATTATTCAAAACTTTAAACTGAAATTTTGGAGTGATGACTTTATTCACGCCAAAATTAAAGCAAATTTAAACAACCAGTAACTATAATAGTAAAAAAACAAAATATTATAGATATGATCTATCTTTATATAATGGTACTTAGAGATTTTACTTAGTCATATAATCATCAAAATTTTTATTATTGTTATAAAAACAAACAATGAAAATTTAGATAATTTTTAATTCTTGAAGATATAAGGTTTCAGTCCAAAAATATTATGATTTAGCTTTGTAAGCTATAATTGATTTGTAACTATAAAAAAGCAATCTTTCTTAAAAAAGTCAGCAGTTTGGAAATTACTTTGAAACACTGTAATTTGTTTTTTTTTGTAAAATTAATATTTAGAATTTAATTTTAACTGATTTGAATCAAATATTTTAAACCTTGAAAATTAGAATATAAAAATATAGACTAAAATAAACTTACAAAAATTTTAAGTCTAGAATTTATTTCTTTAACATTAATTCTACATTTATGTGAAAAAAGTAAACATTCATACAAATATTTTACTTTAAAATATATTTTTGTGTTTTATTATGATTTGAAAAATAGTAATTTAGTTAAAGTAGTTAAAGTAATACATTATCTAAATATTCATATATGTGCAGACAAATATTTAGTCATTTCTGTGTATATATTGTGTACTTGGACTTTGTTTATTAATAGGATTTATTATACTGGAAGTTTCTGATTAAATATTTTTATTTTCACCAGGTGAAAATAAAAATATTTTGTTTTGACTTTTGACTAAGATTTCCTATCTTTGATAATCAGAAAATTCCAGTATAATAAGTCCTATTAGTAACAAAGTCCAAGTAGACAATATATACACAGAAATGTAAAAATTAAGACAAAGAGGTAAAAAAGAATAAATATTTAGTCATATTTGAATTCAGATTATATTCTGCTTGCTCAATTTCATCAAAGTTAATTTTAAAAATAATACTATTTATTTTAAAGTAAAAGTGAACAAGATTTAGCAAAACTATAACATTCCAACTGTTCTGTTACTCAATTTTTATTTTGTGTATGGATATATTATTCACTTTAAAAAATTAAACGTCAAATAATAATCTTTATTGTAGGATGTATTGAAAAGATTTTCCAAGAATAATGATTATGAATTTTATAATATATTATGAGATACAGATTTTAAATAATTTTTGTCACGAGTATTATAAAACTTAGTATTAGAGATTTGCATATAATATGAATAAAGCTAAAGCTTAAGATAATGACTGTTTCTTTACGTTCTTCTACTAATTCTAATCTTAAATATAGTAATATTGGAAGTAATAAGAGAGAAACACTAAAAGTATAATATAAATAAATGCATTATATGTCAAAACTGATTTGCTATATTAAATATTTGTTCACATTTTGTTTTAAAAATCAAAATGACCATAGTTTGCATAGTTATATAAATTCAGTAGCTACAGACAGAAATGTACAACTTTCCCTTTTTATTCTGTTTATATATATTTCAATGTATATTGACAGTCAGAATAGATAATAGTAATAGACTGAAATACATTCTGTTTGGAGCTATTGAATTAATAAATGTAAGATAAAATTTTATGTAGATTGAAGTTATGCTTATCCTGATATCATTTAGATGTTTGTTATATTTAATACATTAGTTATATTTAATAACAAATAATCATAAAAATAATCTTAAAAAATACAGTACGTAAGACCAGAAATAAATTATTATATAATTTGAACTAGACAGAACTGCAATCTTGTATTTTAATAATTACTAAATAGAATTAAAAATTAATTCTAAAGTGTTTATGTATTATAGAATATAAATCCCAGAAGACAAACATTTGAATGCTTTTAAGAGTAAGATATGTGTATAAATAAACGTTTTCAAGATCTTTCATCTCAGGCTCTTAACTTTAGATCTCTCTTGGGTATTAGTTCAGCTCTGACAAGTTGAAGCTGAAGCAATGCTCAAGATGTTGGATCTAAAACTGAGATAAAGGGTCTCTAAAAAAATTATTTTATTAGTCCATCTATCTATACATACTTCTAACTTCAATAATCATTCTAACTATAATCATTCAACTGCATTTTATGTTCTATTTAAAATAAGTTGATTATATCAAAGCACAGTTTATTGATATTACAGATTAAAATATTATTCCAGACAAATTTCTTTTTAAACATTTCTAAAATGATTAATTTAATAAAAGTTAATTCTAATTATTAACATATTTATAATATATAAAATAAGCTATTTGTTATGTTTGCCAAATTAGTTATAAATAATTCACAAAAGCACTGACATCTCTGTGTTATTTATTGTAGTGCAAAAACAGCTATTACTGGTAATATTATTTTGACATAAAATATACAGAATTTACATTTATCTATCTAATTCAATATTGAGCATAGAAACAGATATTAACTGATTCAATGAGCAGTTTACCACAGTGAGCATTTCAAATTTATATTCCTTTTGAGATAGTTAAAATATTATTTTTATACCAATGTAATGTATAAATACTGTATAATACAGTATAATATTAAAATAGCCAATAAAATATTTCTAACGAGTTTATTCATTTTATTGAAAAACATTTATAATTAGCTTGGCACTTGAGTTTTTGATAATTATTTTTTATTTTACAATAATAAAATAATATGATGATCATTTATTGTTATTTTATTGTTAAGAAATTTTAAATTCTAGTTAAAATTCTAATTGCTATTTCTATTATATTATTTTGTTATTTGCATATATCTTATATTTGCTTTTTAAACTTTACAGATTTATAGAAAAAAATTGATTTCTAATTTTTTAATAAGAAATAATTTTAATTAAAAATATTGTTAAACTATACATTAGCAAGATACAGAATTAATGATATTAGAAATTAATAATTCACTATAATTCTCAATTATAGAGAACACTTAAAAGATAAGATAGTAAATTTTCACTTATCTTTTGTTTGCTCTCAACTATTATATTGCATCCATTTCATTAAATTTTGAAAATAGTTTTCATTAGATATAATGTGCATTTTCATATTCTAAATTTTCTTTTGTTAAAAAAGCATTTGAATATTAACTCAATTAGATGAGAAAAGACAATTCATCTATTATATATTATCCAAAAAAAATTTTGCATTAATGCAATATAACTTCTATATATTTTTGTAAAGAAATAATAAATTAGGAACCTAAATTATTCAAAACTTTAAACTGAAATTTTGGAGTGATGACTTTATTCACGCCAAAATTAAAGCAAATTTAAACAACCAGTAACTATAATAGTAAAAAAACAAAATATTATAGATATGATCTATCTTTATATAATGGTACTTAGAGATTTTACTTAGTCATATAATCATCAAAATTTTTATTATTGTTATAAAAACAAACAATGAAAATTTAGATAATTTTTAATTCTTGAAGATATAAGGTTTCAGTCCAAAAATATTATGATTTAGCTTTGTAAGCTATAATTGATTTGTAACTATAAAAAAGCAATCTTTCTTAAAAAAGTCAGCAGTTTGGAAATTACTTTGAAACACTGTAATTTGTTTTTTTTTTGTAAAATTAATATTTAGAATTTAATTTTAACTGATTTGAATCAAATATTTTAAACCTTGAAAATTAGAATATAAAAATATAGACTAAAATAAACTTACAAAAATTTTAAGTCTAGAATTTATTTCTTTAACATTAATTCTACATTTATGTGAAAAAAGTAAACATTCATACAAATATTTTACTTTAAAATATATTTTTGTGTTTTATTATGATTTGAAAAATAGTAATTTAGTTAAAGTAGTTAAAGTAATACATTATCTAAATATTCATATATGTGCAGACAAATATTTAGTCATTTCTGTGTATATATTGTGTACTTGGACTTTGTTTATTAATAGGATTTATTATACTGGAAGTTTCTGATTAAATATTTTTATTTTCACCAGGTGAAAATAAAAATATTTTGTTTTGACTTTTGACTAAGATTTCCTATCTTTGATAATCAGAAAATTCCAGTATAATAAGTCCTATTAGTAACAAAGTCCAAGTAGACAATATATACACAGAAATGTAAAAATTAAGACAAAGAGGTAAAAAAGAATAAATATTTAGTCATATTTGAATTCAGATTATATTCTGCTTGCTCAATTTCATCAAAGTTAATTTTAAAAATAATACTATTTATTTTAAAGTAAAAGTGAACAAGATTTAGCAAAACTATAACATTCCAACTGTTCTGTTACTCAATTTTTATTTGTGTATGGATATATTATTCACTTTAAAAAATTAAACGTCAAATAATAATCTTTATTGTAGGATGTATTGAAAAGATTTTCCAAGAATAATGATTATGAATTTTATAATATATTATGAGATACAGATTTTAAATAATTTTTGTCACGAGTATTATAAAACTTAGTATTAGAGATTTGCATATAATATGAATAAAGCTAAAGCTTAAGATAATGACTGTTTCTTTACGTTCTTCTACTAATTCTAATCTTAAATATAGTAATATTGGAAGTAATAAGAGAGAAACACTAAAAGTATAATATAAATAAAAGTATTATATAAATNAAATTAATTAAGTCTTAGAAATGTGTTCTTTCTGAATTCATTTTGATTTCTCATATCTAATTTAATTGAAATATCTAGGTAAAGAATAATTGTAATAATACATTTGCTCTCTTTCTATCTGTGTCAATATATTTTTAGTTTATCAAAGTATAATTATTATAAGAATAATGGCAATATTACTTTTAATATAATTAGATTCACTTCAACGGTACATTATTTTCAATATAATTTAATTTTATTATTGATATAATTTGCTTACCTTTTCAAAAATTCTAATTGATTAGTCAAACAAGTATTGGTCTTCAGAGATTCTTTGAGAGCACTCCGTAACTTCTTTATTTCTTTTTCTAATCTATCTATTTTCTGTTGGATCTCTGGAGGAACTTCTGGAGTTGATGCTGAAATTTAAATATATTGCTGCATATCCACTTCCATAAATTACAAGTTATAAATGCTTAATAATAAAAAGATGAAATAAAATCTAACGTTTTTCTTTTTCTTGATTAGCTTTCTCAGCAGGAATTCCAATTACTAATTGAAATAACAATTCTGAAAATAAATATATAAATTTTAGATAAGAACAAATTTAAACTGCAAACATTAATTATCTTTCCATATAATATCTTATAAAATTAACTGTAGATTCTTGGTTTAAGAATTAATTTTGAATCTATTAGTTGATACTTTTGTAAATTTATTTTAAAGAATCTGTGTTTAATTTTTAAATTTGATTTATTATTACTATTATTATATAATAACTGTATATCTCAAGTATATAAATTTAATTATCTCAAATTTTATTAATGAAAGTTATGGTTTAGATAAATAATTAGAATGCATTTTAATAAAGTAAAATTTAACCTCTATTTTTTTTCTTCAGTTCTTCTACTTCTTTGTGCAAACTGTCTAGCACAATAGCATGGTTTTCTTTAACAAAGGCTAAATTTCTTTCCAATTGTTGAACTTTCTGAACCGGATCCATACCAAGATCACGAGTTTCGGACGCGGTAGAAGACAGCGGAGGAAAACTACGAGATGTGGAAAGGGATCTGGGAGGAGGTAGCCTCTGAAGACGGTCGCACTTCAACGGTTTGGGGTAGTGATCGACGTCACTTACGTGGGACCACTGTTGAAAAGTACCCGCAGTCGAACACCCAAAGGGCAACGTCAAACAAGGAGAAGTCAGCAAAGAGGGGCCTTGCACATCTGCTTTCCTGTCAGCACTACTCATTGCACCTGATATTTAACAATAGAAATCTTTTTTCTTCTCAAAAGAAATATTCAGTTCAATGGCAGTCTAAAATAAAAAAAAAACAATCTGAAATTAATCAAATTTAGAATACTCCATTAATCCTTCGATTTCAAAATTTCTTACTGTTTGTAAATTTAAAATTACAAGTAAAGCATAATAATTAAAAAAAAAAATTCCGGAAGAATGCCCAGTAATCTCAATAATTGAATTATCAATAAAACAATTATCACGATTATTTTAATAAAAATTGCATAAATATAATAATGGTGTTTGATTTATCACAGATTTCATTTGGAGTAGGAAATCAAAGTAAAAAAAATTGTTATTGGTTACCATAGATGTGGACGGGGGTGGGGACAAACACGAAATTAACAACTCACCAGATGTTTGATTATCTACTAAAATGTCTGATTATGAATAATACGACGAAAATCCGAAGATATCGAACGCCACAATTCGAGTATAAATGAATCTTTAACGAAATAAAACGTAACGATATCAATTTTGATGGAGGATGACACTAACCGGCAAGTTTCTTCTCAATCTGCTGCATCATGGTAATTTCTTCCTTCGGAATTGTGTCAGTACCAATGACGAAAGGTGGAGATTGGTCAATGCCCGTGACCGCTATCCAATGGCAAGCTGAATCGGGGTGACATCAACGAATCGATCTTCGCTTTGTTCTCTACATCTACAGAAGTGCAATGACCATCTTTAAAAGCGTCGATGGCATTGGACGATTTCAATCTGTCGAATTAATCGAATCCTTAAGAATTTTCAACTTCATATTACTAAATCTGTTCGAAAAATCCCAAACAAAAATATATCTTTCCGGCCTAAAACTATTTCGATAGATTTTTTTTTCGTATTTTAATCTCTTCTACCCTCGTTTTATATTTTAATAAATTTAAACGATAATAGATTATACTTTGCGTAGATTTTTATTCATTGTAATTGTTTAACCTTACTAATCCATAAACCCATTTATTATTATTATTTTTACTTTCGATCCGAAGTTCCCTACTCTATCATTTCCGGAAGCACCACAAAACTTACAATTTTTCGAAAAAACAAAACGATATATTATTTAAAATTATATATATTAAAAATAAATTATATTTTAATTTATCATTTTTATTATATTGCGCTTCCGGTAATATATTAAATAGGATTTTTTTTTTGCTGCGCTAAATCTAGAGTTTGGCTTTTTGGTAAAGATCGTGGCCATTATGAGAAGCTATTTTTACAGGAGACTTAATTATACTTTTCCATTATTATTACACACCGAAAAATGTTTAAAAATAAATTATACAGTAATAAAAATGGCCTTTGAGATCGCGTAAAATTAGTGTAATTGTATATACATGTTAGCGAAATTCTGTACACGATTCTCAGAAAGGTGAAAGATTAAAATAATAATTAAATATGGAAAAAAATTCGCCTTAAAGTTTTATTTCATCATTAAATAATTGTTTACACAATTCAATGGGAATAACCATCTGTTCTTATCTATATTGAATAAACGTCAAACAACTGAAAAATAAAAAGATAAAAGACAAGTAATTACTCATTATTATCTAGTTTTTATATATAAAAAAATTATATATTTTCATTATTTCTTCTTTCTCGACATGCAATAAAAATATCAACCTCATTTTAAGACATTTTTCAAGGCTTAAAGAAATCAATTATTTTTTAATAACAGAATTTGTTCTGTAATTTTTAGAAAGTGTTAAGAAGTATTGCGATGATTTTTACCTGGAATAATTTTGAAGCGCAAGACCTTTCTTTTTTATTTTTTAGTCGGAAAATATTTGGCATTCAAATATTTAAGCTTTAATCACTTAATGTACACTATAAATTATTGAAGTAATTAAAGTTGCGTTTTCTATTTTTAAAAGCCACAAAGTAAACGTTAAATAGGATAAATGATAAAAGCTCTGAAACAGTAGAAAATTAACAGATTTAAATTTTTATTATAAAAATAAATTTTTTAAGCTTATTATTTTTATAATTAAACGAAATTGGTAAGAAATATAAACGTAAATATCATCAGTCTGGTGTTTGGTAAGTTATTCAATATAGATGAATTTTTAGCAAATAGCCTATTGACAGCAATCGGTTAACTTTTTGCAACACATTGTATATCCCAATATTGAAAGTAACGAACATAATCCGTTCCAAGACTTTGTTCGTTAACCGATTATGGATTTACCATAGATTTTTATGGGAATTTGATTAATTCGTTCTGGAGACCCCCCAAAATAAAAAAAATATATACTTTCTTACTACGTTTATTTACATGTAATAATAAAAATACATATATACACTGGCTTGCATTTTTTATTTGCATTTTTATTTATTTATTTATGTTTCCGTTTGTGGGGGTTAAAGTATCTGTCTAATGTCGATCGCTTTTCTCTCTTCTACAGGATTTTTCAGAAGTAACTAATAGCATTGTAATTGTAGTTCCCTAAGCCTATTAACTTCAACCTGGTTTGGATGCCATTCTAAGACCATTGTTCTGACATCCTCTCACTTCTTCAAACATGTTTAATAGCAGATATCGGCATTAATCCTCTTTTTTCAGAAGAAAACATCTCGCTGAGTTTCTTGGTGTTATTCATTCAAGAGTTCTTAGCATTCTTCTGTCGTCAGATCCATTTCAGATTCTATTATGAGCTCTTTAATATTCTTTATTTCTCAAATGTGGTTTTTGGTACTCCTTTAGCTGCTTGAGTCTTCTCGATTATACTGTATCTTTCTTAGATAACTGCACCCTACGGTAGACCTGTTCAAGCCATACTGCCCAGCAACGTCAGACATCTGCCCACTCTCTACCTTTGCTATTATACTCTCACCTTTCGAAAATAAAAACAGACGCAAAACTTAACAAGTGCCCACCTGACAGTCTCGCGAATACTATAAAAGAATTGTTTCTGTCAGAAAAATAAAAGGCTGGAATTTCAAGGGAGAGTTTCAAAGTTCGGAGGAATACTATCCGATCAGTATATACAGTACCGGGTTGAGCGTTGATGTCGACGTCTCCCGCACTCCGAAAAGTTTCGAATTGTTGCCTGAAGGGAAGACTAATCGGTCTTCCCTTCAGGCAAAACGGGTAATTCTGACGGGCAAAAAGGGTAATTACTGGGTCCTCACCAACAGGGGGCCCAAATCCTTTTTATAATAAAATATTTTTCCGAAGAAACATATTTGAAGTCCACATTGTATATGGGGCTCTCTAATTCAGATTTGCCAGAGCCCCATTAAGCTGTAATGCGCCACTGAAATTATTTTTCACTTTTTTCTATTTTTTTGGATTTTTCCACTATTTTTCTAAGCAGTATTCTTCAAAAGTGTCATAAATCGAATTTCTGATAATGGAAGCGAAACTCAAAAAGTTTCGGAAGAGGTCAAGTTTGAATACACTATAGGCATACCGCTTTGGAGGATCTGGGATCGGTTCCGGGATTCGAAAAAGCCCTAGAAATTTTTCAGGTGGTGGTCCGTCTAGATATGTCGGGCCAGTCCTTCACTATCCAGCAGCCCCATTGTGGGCATGACTGAATCCATAATGGGCTTACTAAAAGAGATCCTCTCAGTGCTCCCAGGGCAGTGAAAAATAAAAACTAGTCTCATTACAGATTCGCGTTTTGTACAAAATATGAATCTTATTGATTATTGCATATAGAAACGTCACCCAGTGTTGTATTCTGAAAGGCCAGTAGTGCCGAGGTCGACTGAAAGTTGGAAGACGGGAAGCAGCATATCCGGATCTCGACCATCTTAAAATCCATCGGAGTAATCGCAAAGCTTCTTCAGCCAGGATTAGCAACCACTACAACACAGAATCCCACAGAAACAGCTGCTCATTTACAATTAAAATTTGAGAGATCGCCAGCATTCGTGCAAACAAATTCGCTCGATATTTTTTTTTTGCCTGTTTGCAGGTTGGCTTCTTCTGTAATGAGATGAACTATTAGCTTATTATCTCTTATAGCGCTAGATAAATAGTTTACCTGCAAGCATTCTGCCCGAGTTGTAATTTTTCTAGTTTCCTGCCTTTACGGCGATAACACCATAGTTGTCATTCGTCGTGAGCTATTACAGGATATAAAGGTTAGTTAGACATATTGATAAGATTCTGTCATCATCCAAACATTCTGGAAATTACAAATATACAATATATAATAAAATAATATATTTTAAAATTTATAATAAAAATGAAAATTATGCTTTTTGAATAATACGTTCGACGATCAGGTGACCGAGGCGATAAAGGCGTCATCCTTCTACTTTGGAGGATTGGGATAGAATCCAGAGGCCGAAAAATCCCATAAATTTTTCATAAATGGTCGGGGCTCGTTCTTCATTACTCAGTAGTCCCAGTGTAAACTTGACCGAACCCACGATGGCTATAATTAAAAAGCCCTCTAAGTGCTCGCATTATGGACAGTGAAAAACGAAAAAATTAAAAGACGGCCGGATGGCCGAGCGGTTCAGATAGCAGCATACCTCTGTGGGGATCCAACAGCAATTCCAGACGGGTCGAAAAACCCCAGAAATTTTTTGGAAGCGGTCTGTCCCGGATATGTTAGACGTTGGACCTCGTGAAGACTTACAAGGTGGCACCCTACCGCTCTGTGGGACCAGGACGGGTCGAAAAATCTCCAGGAATTTTTCGCGGGTGGTCCGTCTGTATATGTCGGACCCGTCACTCACCACCCATTGTGGGCCTGGCCGAACTCATAATGGGCTTGCTAAAAGAGGCCCTCTTAGTGCCCACAGGGCGGAAAGAGTATTAAAAAAGTAACAAAAGAAGTGCAGAAAACAACAAGATGAAGAGATGGGCGATCGACTTCCAAATATTCGAAGAATCTGAAAATTGAAGGATTTTTGTTTGATTTCTGGAAGAATCCTCGATATCCGTGATAATCCAAAGATCAGTGATTTCTACCTGAATGTTCTAATGCCGAATAGGAGCAATCAAATTACGAGATCGAGATGAATACATTCAGATTTTAGATTAGTACAGTATATTTGTCCAGCAAGAAAGTAAAAACTAAAATGTGATGCCGAGTTCGATTGCAACAAGAATTATTTCATCATAGATCCTTCTCCAGCTTTGAAGATATTGCTGAAGAAAGAAAGAAAATCTCGTCGTTGCTTTGGTAGATCAAAGATATAAAAAATAAATAGCTCTTTTAATTTCTTGTTAAAGGTCTTTTTGTTATTGAGGGAGAAAATCAATTGTCTAGAAACATTTCCTAATGTACTTAGGATGAATAAATAAATAAATTATGGGAGGGATCAGCTTTTCTGGCAAATTAAGTATAATTTTAATAAATTCTTTTAATTCAATTTTAGAAATACAGAATGTTTAATCTTCGATTAGGCTGTGATAACCGCCAGCGAATTTGTGAGGCCCTGGAAATAGCCCCCCGATAAAAAGAAAGATATGTAAAAATTTGTTAAGTTAAATCTCGAGATAAAAAAATTATATAAGTGTCGAATGGGTGACACCAGACTTTGACGTCGACGCTCATAAAGAGTAGAGGGAAAAACAAAATTTTAGATTTAGAAAAAGAAAATTTAAAATATTAAAGTTAAGACGCAGTTTAGAAAGCAAAACGAAACTAGAAAAAAATATCAAAATGAGCGTAGGTGTCATAGTCAACGTTAAACACGATCAGAGTCTAAAAGATGGCGTCGGATGAACCATCTCCAGCCGACCTTTCCCGCGAACTATACGAAGCTCCTGGAGACGGGTGGAAGACCAATTAGAAAGCGATGATGTAAAGTTTGTCCAATTAGCAACAAGTTGATCTCGAAAACTTATAAAAACACCGATTTCAAGGACAAAGAAGGCTTCCACTAGACT